GTCCTCCTCATCCCCTTCTCATTCAGCTCTGTCCTGTGTTCACAGAGCTCTACTGAGGAAACTTGGGGGACTTTTCCTCCCTCCGGAGGCCAACCTCTCTTTGGACAGCTCAGAGGGTATCCTTGCCAGGACTGTGCTCCGTGCAGTGAGTGCTCCCAGGAGCCATGTAGGGTGGGCCAAGGGTACAGGGCTCTGCCCTGATTCTGCCTCGATGCCCACCCTTCCTCTCTCCTTACAGGCTGTGGAGCAGCTGCTAGCCAGTGGGCAGTCTCTGCTCATCTTCCTGGAAGAGCCCCCTGGGTATCCAGGGCCCAGGCTTTCAGCCCTGGGCCAGACCTGGCTAGGAATGGTGGTCCAAGCGGTCCAGGCAGGCATCATCCCAGACGCCACACTGGTACCAGTTGCCATTGCCTATGACCTGGTTCCAGATGTACCATGGAACATGGGCCATGTGAGACCCTCTTGTCCCTGGGGACCAAGTAGAAACCAGTTCTGGGTGGTACAATATGTTCGGTGGCTGGGATTCTTTAGGGCTGAGGTCAGATTGGGACGTGAAATGTGTATAAAGGAACTGTCCCTAGAGTCACCATCCTACAGTGTCTCCCAAGGTCTTTACCATCACCATCTTACAAAAGTCCCCACAAAGGAGGTCATGAGTGAAAAGACGGGGATCCATTCCCCTCTCCCCTGCACATGCTTCCCAACATGACTCACCACCCACAGCTTCGCTCAGGAAGGTAGGCAGCAGTTCCATACTCAAGCGTGCCAGATGTGTGAGGCCTGGGTCAGGCCGTGGCACTACCACCAAGTCCCCCTGGTGGACACGCAGCAGAACCACATGTGCCCTCAGCAGGTTCAGTGTATGTTGGGCCAGGCACCGCAGCTGCCCAGAGAAGCCCACATCAAAGCCACGAAGTAGTGTCTCCTCTGTCAGCCAGGAGAACTCCCCCAAGAGCTGTGACAGGAGCACACCCTGCCACAGGCTGTGGAGAGGACCAGTGAACAATGTGGAGGCAGAATGGGTAGTAGCCCTGAGACTTGTCCAAGAAAATGCATGTTCCTTCACTGCAGGACTTGGCTCCTCTGGGGTTATGGACAGGAGCCTTGGCTGTCTTTCGGAGACTGTGTAACTGCTGGGGCTGCAACCGCAGAGTCTGTGTCCGGGTGCACCTTGCCCAGCCATTTTCCCTCCAGGTATGAAACCAGTTGGGAAAGTCTGGGATAGCCTTTGTGGTAGTCTGGCCTTCAAAGCCATTTGTAGGGATAGTATTTTCTGTCTTACACGGTCTGAACAGGTTTCCTGGGGTGGGGTGGCAAGAGCAGACCACGTCTTTATCCCGGGCAGGAGTACACCATCAATGCTAGAAGCTGCTGGGGGAGCAGGCAGACCCTGGAACACTTGTTGCAGCCCATTGTGCTAGGGGAATGGTAAGGAGCACAGGTGTACGGGTCTCGGGAGGGAGGCAGGCGGCTCTTCAGCTGCACCCATCCAGAACATCAGCACCAAGACACTCTCCCTCCCTACAGTCTAAGTATCGGGTGGCACACTGGCCTGGAAGGGCAGAGGGTTACATGAGTTCTCCCAGGACTTGGGGGGAAACAGCCAAAGCTTTGGAAAGCTTTAGACTTGTGTGGCATTTTAGTCTGGTTTCATGCTTTGATCTGTCTCTATGCCAGTAGTGTTGTTCCAGACACTGAGAAGGAGCAAGAATGGACCCCACCAACTGGTCTCCTCCTGGCCCTCAAAGAAGAAGACCAGCTCCTGGTCAGAAGACTGAGCCGGCATGTCCTAAGTGGTGAGGGAAACCCAGATCTGCACCTTTGGGGGTGTGACTTGCTGTACTTTCTCTATGTGGATTAAAAAGGGGCAGTTATTAGGGCCCATGGTTGTCAGTACCAGACTCTCCACTCCTGACACCAGAAGAGTAGGGGTGTCCAGTGACGTGGGGAGCACAGGAACTCCATGTCCAACCCAACCCTACCTCAGATGCCCTGTAAATGGGGATGGTAACTGAGAGTAGCAGCATGAGCCTGCAGAGTGCATGCGCTGAAGTTTGTTAATGCCTTCTCAGAGGTCACTCCATGTCCACTGTTGGGTGGGCCTGGCTCACAGCACGTGATAACTGCTTCTTGGAACCTGCTCTCCCCTGCTGGGGTGGAGTTGGGGTTGTGTGGCTGGAAAGATCTATGAAAAGCTAAAAGCGGGATCAAGCCTCTCTAGGCCCCGACTCCTGGCCACACCCTACATCTCCTTCTTCTCATCCCAGCCAGCGTGGCCAGCTCAGCAGTGATGAGCACAGCCATCATGGCAACACTGCTGCTCTTGAAGCACCAAAAGGTAGGGCACTGTATGGTGGGGCCCAGGGAACAGCAGGGTTTGGCTCTCTGCTCAGGCCTGTTTTGTCTCCAGGGTGTGCTCCTGTCACAGCTCTTGGGGGAGTTCTCCTGGCTGACAGAGGAGACACTACTTCGTGGCTTTGATGTGGGCTTCTCTGGGCAGCTGCGGTGCCTGGCCCAACATACACTGAGCCTGCTGAGGGCACATGTGGTTCTGCTGCGTGTCCACCAGGGGGACTTGGTGGTAGTGCCACGGCCTGACCCAGGCCTCACACATCTGGCACGCTTGAGTATGGAACTGCTGCCTACCTTCCTGAGCGAAGCTGTGGGTGGTGAGTCAGTGGGCTCAGCAGGGTTGGGAGGCATGTGCAAGGGAGAGGGGAATGGTTTACTCCTCATGCTGTCTTCCTTCTCTGCCAGCCTGTGCAGTTCGGGGGTTGCTGGTGGGCAGAGTTCCACCTGAGGGGCCCTGGGAGCTGCAGGGCATAGAGCTACTGAGTCAGAATGAACTGTACCGCCAGATCCTACTGCTGCTGCACCTGTTACCTCAAGACCTACTGCTGCCCCAGGTCAGGCTCCTCTCCTAGCTCAGCAGGACCCTGGGCCTTGTCCTTATGACCGCCTGTGGTAGTGATCTTGGCCTCCAGCTATCTCTGGTCAGGATTCTGCCAGCAGCCCCCTCCCCCATGGGGAATCTTTGAAGGGCACTGGTGCTTCTCTTCTGCAGCCCTGTCAGTCTTCCTACTGCTATTGTCAGGAAGTGTTGGACCGACTCATCCAGTGTGGGCTTCTGGTTGCTGAGGAGGTAAGCTCCCACCCCAAGGGCCGGCACCCTGGGCTGCTCCGCTGACTCTAGTGTGCTCTGGGAGTGTACTGCCATTGGCCCAGCACACATACAAACTGCACTGTTCATGCCAGGTTGGCATGTGTGGCTCTGAAGTTCTCTCCATACCTATAGCCTCACGTTTCTTAGTGAGCTTGGGTACTTGGCCCAGGTAGTTCTCAACATCCTTTTGGGCTGCTCAGATCTGATTGCACCTGCCAGGACCAGGACTGAGGGCTGTAGGGCTGTATCCTGCCTAGCCTTACCAGGGACCAGACCAGTAACTCTCCCAACCCCCCAGACCCCAGGCTCCCGGCCAGTTTGTGACACAGGAAGACAGCATCTGAGTGCAAAGCTGCTGTGGAAACCAAGTGGGGACTTCACTGACAGTGAGAGTGATGACTTTGAGGAGCCAGGAGGCCGGTGCTTCAGGGTGTGTTGGGAGAAGCTACCTCAGGAGGCAAGTGGAGGCGGTAAGGTACCTGGGAGCCTACATTCCTCCTTACTCTGGTCTGTCTCCAGCTTAGCCAGCAGTCTCGGTGCCCTGACTTCTTCCTCTTCCTCTGCCGCCTGCTCAGTCCAATACTCAAGGCCTTTGCACAGGCAGCCACCTTCCTCCACGTGGGGCAGCTGCCCGATTCAGGTAAAGCCCTTACTCCCCTTGCAGTGTTCGGGGTGGGGCTCAGTCCCAGAGAGCTGGGGTCTAGGTCTAATCTCTCCTGCAGAGGTAGGCTACTCGGAGCAGTTGTTCCAGTTTTTACAGGCCTGTGCCCAGGAGGAAGGGCTCTTTGGTGAGTTCCAAGCCCCATCCCAGGCTTCCTGGGGGTAGGTTTGCTGGTGAGTGCTGCCCTCTGCTGGTTGCCTGACTCCAGGGAAGAAAGACTTTTGTTCCCATGTAGGCCCCACTCTTCTGTTTGTTTGGTTTTTTTGAGACAGTGTTTCTCCATGTAACAGGGCCTTGGCTGTCCTGGACTTGATTTGTAGGATCTCAGAGATCTATATACCCCTGCCTCCGGAGTGCTGGGATTAAAGGAGGGCACCATGATACTGGGCTCCTTGGGGAAAGTCCTGCCCAGTGGCTCCCTGGCTTGCCTCAGCTTTCATTGTCTTTCTTACCTCCAGAGTGTGCAGACCCAAACCTCGCCATCAGTGCTATTTGGACGTTCAAAGACTTGGGGGTAAGAGAGGCCATCTCATCGACCTGTCCCTGACCTCATCCCTCAGCCCCATGAGCTGCTAGAACTGCTTAGGAGGACTACCTTGTTCCTCTAACCCATGGGGGTATCTAGCATCTGATGAATGCTAGAGTGTGTGGTTTTCCTGCCTTCCCCTACCACTACTATATCAAGTAGTATCACACTCGGGCACTGAGGCGTCACTACAGGTTTGGGGGAACAGGCTTGGCCCTGGGGGCATTGTCCCCTAAGCAAAGGTGATTATAGTCCATCTTGTGTCTCAGGTACTACAGCAGATGCCCAGCCCTACAGGACCCCAGCTCCACCTGTCCCCTACGTTTGCCAGCCGGGACAACCAGGACAAGCTGGAACAATTTATCCGACAGTTCATCTGCAGTTAAAACCGGGGAACTTGATGGGACTTGTCAGCCTAGAACTTATGTGTGTGTCCTCTGGTCAGGACACAGCTAACCTGGATTTAGGAAGCCTGTGTTTGCTCATCATTTGGTGTGATAAATAAAGGGATTAGGCTAGCTTCTTCCCTAAGCCTGAAGTGTTCCTCCAATACCTTCTCCCTCTTGCTCAGCCCTGTGAAAGTGGCCCACCTTCGGGGACAGGGGAGGGGAGGTAGTGTGTGTGTGACTAAATGACAGCAGAAACTAAGCTGCAATTTCAAGAGAAATTTTATTTCCGAGGCCTACCTAAGGGCAGCCTCAAGTAGGCAGGGCCAGCAGTGAGGCTGGTTCACCTTGTCTCAAGTTCAGTATTTACAGGGATGCCATCAAACCACCTTGTTGATGATGATACCAAGTTCTTCAATCTCACACTGGACTTCATCACCCTTCTGTAACACAGCAGGTCACAAGGATTTTAGCCCTTGGCTCCAGTATGGGCTTTCCCCCTTGAATTTCCCCCAGGCTCTTTCAATCTCGCCAGGCCTCCCTGGCTCTCATCTTTCTACCATTTCCTCTTTTAAACCAGCTTACATTGAGAAAAACTGGAGGCTTCCTAAACACACCAACACCTGGAGGAGTCCCAGTCAGGATGATGTCCCCTGGGTAAAGAGTGACAAACCTAGGGAAAGCAGGTGGGTCAAGAAAGACCATGGGCTGAGAGTAAGCTGTTTCCAGGTATGCCCCGGGGGGGGGGGGGGGGGGCGGGGAGGGCCTGGCTGTGACAGGCTCTACCCACTTACTGGGAAATCCAGGCTATCAGCTCTTCAGTCTTGAACACCATCTGGTTGGTGTTGCTGTTCTGGACCACCTCCCCATTCACTCGACAGGAGATCTTTAAATTGTGCGGATCTGGAATTCAAAATAATACTGTGGGGTATCCATGCCCAACATCCAGCCCCAAAGGAAAGGAAACTTAGGGAGCATGTCTACCGACACTGGATTAACACTTTACTCTGAGCTTCCCATAAAGACTGGTCCCCTGAATTCCCACATCAAGTAAGGAGGAGGGACATTCTAGACTCTGAACAGGGAGAAAACAGCTGAGGGATCTGCCTTTAAAAATGGGCATGTAGGCCAGGCAAGATGGCTCAGCAGGTAGAGGCAATTACTGTCAAGCCTGAGGGCCTGAGTTAATCCCTGAGACCCATATGAACCCAAGAAGAGAACCAACTCTTGGAAGTTGACCTCTGAGCCAGAGGTGGCAGCACACACCTGTACTCTCAGCACTCAGGGAGGCAGAGGCAGGTGGATCTCGAGTTCAAGACCAGCCTGGTGTACAGAGCAAGTCCAGGACTGCCAAGGCTACACAGAAACCCTGTCTTGAAAAAAACAAAAACAAAAATTGACCTCCAATGTCCATCCATGTGCCATAGCATTCATATATGCATGCACAAAGTGTTTTTAAAAAAGCACATTCATATGGTTATCAATTACACGAATTCCCTACATATTTAAAATATTTCACAGTAAAACAGACTAGGGAAAAAAGGGGGCATTGATTCACAGCAGAGGCTGATCATTGTAGATCTAAAATGACTCCAAAGTGACAGGGATAGCAGATCAGCAGATAAAGGGTTACCCAAGCTACCCTGCATCGCTCACAGCAGCTGGAAAAAACCCACCGTCCTGAGGGGCTCATCCACGTAGCCAAGGCACCCCCATGGACGGCTGTACAGTGGGTGTGCAAGGTCCTATTGGTGCTCTAGCTCCCTTAGAGAAAACGAACAGGCTTCATCACAGACACTGTCTACCATGCTCAACAGCCACCCGTGCTCCTTCCAGCTTAAGGACTATTCCAGATGGAGGATGTCCCTCACCCCAAGGGCTGTGTTTTTTCGTAGTTCATTTTATGGATGTAGTTTCACAGCAGGGCAGCTGTGTTCCCTCTAAGAGGCTCTGGAAGGAAGTTCCAAGAGCTAGCTCAGAGCTGAGGCAGGCCACGTTTTCCCTGTGGGAACAGCGGTGACACTACAGCTCTGCATATAGTCACAGCCACAGTCCTTGGAGCACTGTTTTCCCTGACACTCAGGGGCTGTACACGGGAGGGCGCAAGCAGCAGAGACCAGCGACCTACCTCCTAAGCTGTCCCTGGTAACCAGGGCGGGGCCCAGAGGGCAGAAAGTGTCAAAGGTCTTCCCCAGTAGCCACTGCTTTCCATTGCGCTTCATCTGCCAGTCCCGAGCACTCACATCATGAGCCACAGTAAAGCCAGCCACGTGAGCCATGGCATCTGCGGCCTGTTGGGGCAGGAAATTTGGCCAGATAGATTACATCACAAGTGACAAGCCCTATAACAATCTCAAAGTCATTGTCACACATTAACACCAGAGCTAGCAAAAGGTGTTGTGTAAAAGGCAAGGGAGTGAATCGCCAAATGTGTCCCAGTGTCAGACGGCACCAGTGGGGGAGGATGGTCAGTCCCAGCAGAGCAGGATCTGGGGCTGCTGCTCCTGGCCCGGGAGCCCCCTTCCACCTCACCTTGATGTATTTGCCTTTCTTTCCAATCACCACGGCCAGTTCCACCTCCCAGTCCACTTCCTGTAAAGTGGGAGAGGACAAGTGAGCTGCAGTGGCCACAAGGTAGGCCTCAACTTAGAGGAACCAGGGTGAAGTGGGTGTGGCTTGCAGACCACTAAGCTCTGGGCAGTGGCAAGAAGCGCCACTGGAGGAGACTAGGAGATGAACACATGTCTGGGAGTGGAGTTTAAAAGTCACTCTTGACACCTGCAATGAAGAGTGATGCCAAACAGTAAGAGTTAGTAATATGTAACTAACTACCGTATTCCTGACACTATATATGTGGTATAATGTATTAACTCATTTTAATAAGACTGAGATCCAGGAAAAAATGTATTTAAGGGGCTTAAGTAAGCAACTTACAAGGAAGAGATGCAATGCTACAAAATGCAATGGTAAAGAACTTACAATTTAGCCTTTCCCAGCTGTTTTTCATGGAAATGACAAGAAATGGAGAAGGTCACTTGAGCCCAGGTGCCAGCCTGTGCTACCAGCGCCACTAAAGGACGCAGGCTCCATAAGGAAATGGAAACCAGCAGGGTGGCCAAACTGGACTCATCCAAATTGAGTAAGAGGAATAAACGAGGAATTATTAAAATTTTTTAAAATGAGGAATTAAAAGCACAGGGTAAAATGAGGATTTAAAAGCTCAGCAGGTAAAGGTACTAGCCACAGAAGCCTGATGACCCAAGTTGGGACCCTAGAATGCACATAGAAGGCTGGGTGCAGCCACCCACATCTGTAATCCCGGCACTCCTTTAGTGAGACAGGAGGCAGAGAGAGGAAAATCACCCAGAAGCTTAGCAGCCAGTAGCCTGGCAATATGTACAAAAAGGAGACCCTGCCTGTCTCAAGGTAGAAGGTGAGAACAGAATGAACCACAGATGGGAGGCTGAAGAGACTGCTCAGTTCCTTCAGAATCCTGGTTTGTTTCCCAGCACCCTTACCAGGTGCTCGCAACGGTTTGTAACCCTAACTCCAGGGAGCCCCACACCCTCTCTGGCCTCCACAGGCCAATTATGGTAGAGAGAGTAAATGAACATCAAGTGAACAAAATGGTCACACTGAGAACACGTGACGTATGAGTCTCCTGACAGACTGTAATGGAAAAAACGGGGCATTTCCTGTGCAGGGTGCCTCAGAAAACTGCTTCAGCTGAATCTCACCGAAAGGAAATAAGGTAAAACTGCACACAAGGCACCCTGGGAAGAAACACTTCAGAAAGTGTCCGGAAAGGAAACCATGTGGCAACCTCAAATGTGTCAGGGAGAAGACTGGGAAGAAAAATGTTCTTGATGGAGCTGGGACAAGGTGCAGTGTGGCACACAGCCGGGACAGACGACAGGGGGAAACTAAATAGAATGAAAGATGCTTGATGGAGTCTGGGAACAGGGTGCATGTACAAATGATAGAAATACAGCCGAACAAACAATACCAGGAGAATATGCAGCAAAGTGAGAATGCCTAGGTGTGGGCAGCAGGAATACTGGCAGCTTTATCTACATTATTGTACTTTCATTGTAGGAAATTACTGTTGTAATTGGGGAAAAATGTCCCTTAATTCCTCCTGTCACCTGCACCCAGGACTGTGTTAGTATAGTCCTCTCTAGTGTAGCACACTACTCAGTGACAAGCTCAATTAAGACAGCTGTTCTCAATCTTTGGGTTGCAACCCCATAGGGGTCACATAGCAGACATCCTACATTACATCCTAATGTAAATATCAGATATTTACATTAAAATGCATAACGACAGCAAAATTAGTTATGAAGTAGCAATGAAATAATTTTATGGTTGGGGGTCACCACAACATGAGGAACTGTATTAAAGGGTCGCAACATTGGGAAGGGTGAGGGCCACTGCTCTGAGTCTAAGGGAATGCCTCCTGTGCTGACCCCAGTGACCTGGGTGAGGAGCACTGACCTCACTCTCAGGTGGGAGGATGATCTCATCATAGGGCCCCACAATAGAGCTGGAGAACTTGCTGAAGATGATGGGCTCCTTGGGTACCCGCACATTCTGTTCTTTGCAGTGGTCTGCATAATTCATGCCCACACACACCACCTTGTCTGGCCGGGTGACAGGGGCCAAGAAGGTCACCTGTGACCGAGGGAGGACTGGCAACTGGGTAGCCAGGGCTCTGTAGAGACCAAGCAGGAGAGGGGCTAGGTGGGAACAGGTTCGGGATCCCAGGGCAGGCTGGGGAGAGCCCACAGTAGTTATGCCTTGCTTTTTGCATTTTCTAGATTTCACCCAGCAGTGTAAGATTCAACCCCAGCTGCACACAGTCCTTTAACAGCAGAGCACGGTACTCATCCCGCGCTCACGTCCTCCCCACTTGGGTAATTCTTGTTCATGCAGACGGAAAGGTACAAATGGGAGTAGGTGGAAAGGTGTCTGTCTCGCACCCCTTCTGGTCACTGTGTCCTTCCCTGGAGACAACTCCCATGTCCTGGATAGCTCATTCCAGCTCGGGTGGAATACCCTTCTCATCTCATTGTTTTGAATATGAATGATAGAGTATGTTATACATTTTAACAATTTAACATATTTGGTGTTCCCCTAGAACAAAGAGTCCTCCCCCTCCCCTTTTTGGTTTTTCAGGGCAGGGTTTCTCTGTGTAGTCTTGGCTTTCCTAGAACTTGCTCTGTAGACCAGGCTGGCCTCAAACTTGGAGATACCCCTGCCTCTGCCTCCTGAGTGCTGGGATTAATGGCATCCTCCTTATGGCTGCTGTCCTACACTGTTGACACACACTTGGTTTCTAATAGCAGGAAAGGAAGTGATTTCTAATTTTTAAGAAAACGGCCATTTGGGACCAGAGTGTCTCAGACACTGTAATATCACACATTTCTGTCTCTGCCACTCTGCTTTGACTCTTCAGGCTGATTCCATGGCTGGTTTCAGGGCTACTCCCAGTTAATCTAGCACAAACTCAGGATCTCTTTCCTCTAAGGCTCTAAAGCATGCCCCATGTTCCCAAGAAGCCTCTTAGGACCTTGTGGCAGTTTCTTCCAGCAGGAGAGATTTAGCCTCCCAGGAAAGCAGTATAATAAGGTAAGGTAGGTCCTGGCTACACAATCAAATAAAGTAATCATCCTCCTTGAGCCTCAGTTTCCCTCCCTGTAAATTGAAGGTGGTGTTATATGAGACGTTTAAGGTTTCTGCTTGGTATGGTCATATATACTTGTAATTCAAGGGGTTCGGCAGGAGGTTCTCCAGTCCAAAGTCCACCTGGGCTACACAGCAAGACCCTTAGAAATGAAAAGATTTACATATGTGTTAGCTCTTTACTAAAAGAACAAGTGAAAGAGCAACAGTGGGCCCCTCTGCTGCTTTGCAGAGGAACTACTTGGTGGGAGGAGGGAGAGAAACTAGGGAAGGCCTGCCTACTGACTTACCTTCTCGCCACTGAGAGGGTAGTTTCTCCCTGCTCCAGGAACTGCATCATTGTCTTGGGGAGTCTGGGGTCAAAAGTGTTTAGGTCCACAACTCCTCCACCAATCCCTGACTCCAGGCCCAGGTGAGGCTCTTCTAGGTGGGGCGCTTGGAACTGTACCAGTCTCATGTCTCTCGAGGGTTGACTGGGCCTCTTCTGAATCTGCAGCAGAGCTGAGAACAACCTCCTCCTACCAGAGCCCAGCATCAAAGCCTAAAATGAAAGAAGCAAGCCCCAGGAGACTGAAGGATTGCAGAACCATCATGATGATTCCTTAGTTCCTTTGCCCCATCAACCATTCCCAGCATGCCACTTGGGAAGTGCTCACGTGGGTTGTTTCACCCTGCAGTCCTTCAAAAAGTCAGAGTACAGATGACTATACCTGGCTTTAAGCTAGCTCCAGGGATCCCAGCCTTTCCCCAGCCAGTGTTTCCTGAAAGCTCCCGCTGCTGCAGGCAAGTGGTAAAAACAGCAGGCCAACTCGGCCCTGCTGTCTTGCATGCTGGGGAGACAGGCATGAGCGACTGATGGACACAAGCCTCAGATACTGAGATGATGCTCTGAAGATCGCCAGGCCGCTGCCTTTACCTGGCTTTTAGAAGTAGATCTCCTAACCTGCAGAAGGTTAAAATGTGAAAGACTAGGAATCATCCCCAAAGTAGGCAAGTGGCTATTGCTAGAAATGGCTTCTAGCTGCCTTGTGCAACTTTTATTATTTTGATTCCTTCTCCCCCCCCCCCCCCCCCCCCCCCCAGACAGGGTTTCCCTATGTAGCCTTGGCTATCCTGGAGTTTCTTTGTAGACCAGGCTGGCCTCAAACTCATAGAGATCTGCCTGCCTCTGCCTCCTTTCCTGACTGCTGGGATTACAGGTGTGCGCCACCACACCCAGCTCTCATGCAACTTTTAAAAAGTACTAACTTGATCCTGTTGCCCTCTGACTTAAGTACTTCTACTGCTCACATGCTCAGCTGGAAGCCCTAACAGTGTGCCCTGGCCCAGGAGCTGCCCTCCATCCCCTTCTGGTGGGTACCAGTTTCTGCTGTTGGAGCACCAGGAGACTCGGAATGTCAACAGGCTGGAGACCTAACCTGCACATTGCTCAGCCATCTCCCTGGCTTCAGTAGCTAGGTCTGTCTCTTTCATTACTGAGCCTACCATGGTGCTGCTGTTGCTGTGTGGAGCTCGGGCTTGCACTGTCTCTATTCACTCAACAGATGGAAGATACAAGGGCCCTGACTTTTCACTTCTTGGAAGAGCCTAGTCAACTCTGGGAAGTGGCTGGCCATGCCTTCCTTCTTCAGATCCAGACCTCTTGGAGTGTATCAAAAAGATTCGAAGCCTGTTTTGAATTCTAGGCTCCACCTAAAGATAAGCCTCATTCTGTTTCCTTTGTTTTTATGGTATGGGTACAGGGCCAGGAGGGCACATGCTGGCTCTAGCTACATCCCAGCTAAACTACACTCTATCCCTACTCCACCCAATCCCTCATTTTGTCTTAATCTAGGTCTCATCTTCATTCCTTATCACATAGTCCTTCCCCTTCAAGATAGCTTGCTTTTAAAACCAGGGGCTAGGAGGACAGCTCTTTTCGTTAAGTGCTTCCCTTGAGAGAAGGAGTTTAATCCCCAGAACCCATGTAAAAACATTTGTACACAGTGGTTCATGCTTGTAATTCCAGAGCTGGGGAAGTGGAGACAGGTAGATTCCTGGGGCTTGCTAGCCAACCAGTCTAGTCTAAGTGTTGAGTTCCAGCCAATGAAAAGCCCAGTCTCCAAAAGCAAGGTGGATGGCACCTGAGGAACCCTAAGGACCTGAGCATTTGAACACAGACAGACAGACAGACACACAGACACACACACACACACACACACTTCTTTATGCTTAAAAAAAAAAAAGTATAGGTAGTTCTCTCAGTCCTGGGCTCTTGGTTTTCACCTGATTAAGTCAACCTGTACAGGAATACCACAGTGCCAGCTTGAAAGTCTGGGCGGGAAAACCAAAGGCTTTCCACCTTCTGCTCTGTTGTCTTATACAAGGACCACCACATCACAGTCCAAAGGCTCTTCCAGCACATTTGATCAGTCACACAGTACATCAAATGGCAGTTAACTGTCCCCAGGAAAGCCAAACATTCCACCTGTGATGTTTAATTCTCTTCACTGTGGCTGGCAGGAACTCCTGGCCCAATTTTACAGATGAACAAGCCATGGCTTAGATAGGGTAAGGGGTTTGCCTAAGGTTCAAGAGTCATACAGCTAACAGAAAGCTAGCATTTGAGTCCAGGTCTAGATGACACTGAAGTCCTCTGTTCAGAAGAAAGATACTTCCCAAGCAAGACAATCTAGTCTCAGTTCTGCCCACTCCTCTCAGCTCCCAACTGATACAAGCCCATGGCCATCAGTCATACCTCTGGGCCGCCAGTGGCTGTGGTCTCAGAGAGAAGGCTGAACACCTGCTCGCTGGCTGTGCTTTATTGATGGGGAACCTGTGACAGGCGCACTCAGGTTCATTTCATCTCTATAACAATCGCCACAGAGCAGAAAGCAGCACTAAGGCTTCAGGAGGTAAAGCCACCTGTCAAGGTGGCGCTGGTGTTTTTGTAAGAATCCCTGTGATTCACAGCACACGGGTCCCTTAGCAAACAGCACAGGAATGGGCAGCTTGAGGCGCAGGGCGGTGCGTGCGACCCCGCTGACCTCCACTCTCCGGGAACCGAGGTCGGCCGCTCGGTTTCCCAATGTCGGGTTCACCTCCCTCCCGCGAAGGTCTAGCCTCAGCTTACCGGCTGCCGCTGCAACCGGACCTAACCGGCGCCCTCACGAAGTCAGCAGACACCTGCGGGGCCGCAGGTCAAGAGCGGAGGGCGGAGATACCTAGCGGCTCCTTTTCAAGGGGAATAGGGCCCGCAGTCGCGATATGCTGACGTCACGAACCGCCGCCAATAGGCGGACTCCTGATTCCTCCCGGAAGTCCGAGCCTGACGCTGGCTACCTCCTGTAGCCGCGGAGCTCCGAGCAGGCATGGGCGCTCTTGGGGAGACCCTCTCTGGCTCCTGGGTAACTCTGGGCTTAGCCAGACCCGGAGAGAGCGCATCTTAGCTTTGAGCTTCTGCCTCCGTCCAGGCCCTGCTTCTGGGCCAGGCACCTACACATAGGCGCCCTGGTGGACCTTACCAAATGGTTTTGTCCTCTGGTGTTGACATATTTAGGAGATAGATGGCCAAATCTGTTGTGTTCGTGGAGAAAGCGTAAAGGCCCATGATGACTCCTATGCCAATAAGGGACAGTCCAGCCACTTATTTAACTACTTATTTAGCTGGCTTGGCAGGTGTGAAGCTATTCTGTTTCTTCAGCGTTTAAGATTTACCCTGGGAATCTTGTCCTGGGGGAAAGAAAAAAACTGAAGCCTGTGACGGCCAGCGGAGACGTTTGTCTTCGAGTAAGAGTTATCACTCGGTTTTGGCAACTAGTCAGACTACTCTGTGGAGAGACTGAAACTGAGATAGTGGGTCAGTAACAGGCAGGAGCACACCCGCAAGCACTGCTTCGTCATGCATACCTCCTGCTTTCTATTTGAGAACCTAAACCTCACGTCAGGCCTCCGAAGATGGACTTTGAATTTTTTATTTTATTTATTTATTTATCTATTTTTGCGACAGGGTTTCTCTGTGTAGCCTTGGCTGTCCCGGACACACTTTGTACACCACGCTGGCCTCGAACTCATAGAGATCCTCCTGTCTCTGCCTCCCGGAGTGCCGGAATTACAGGCGTGGGCCACCACCGTGCTTGGTTACCCTGAACCTTTTATTTGTTCTTTCTCCCAATGTGGCCATATTGGGGAAGTCTTGGTCTGTTTTGTAACGTTACTTGTTTCTATAATTGACACAACGGGGACAGATGGTGGCCACGTCCAGCTTGTTAGGTCTGCCAGGGCTCAGGCCCTGACCCCAACAACTCCGGTACCAATTTCACCTACTTCCTGAAGCACCCTTCTCTTCACTTGCCTTGCTTTAGCAGGTCCAGCCAGCAGGCTTTCGGGTGGAAATGTTCTCCACAGCCACATTTCCGAGTATGAAAATGTAAAGGGTACTCGAAGAGAGAGACTACTGAACTAATCAAGGTCTAAACATCACCGGACGCATTAGCTGTCCCAGGAAAAAGTATGGGCCTTGTATTAGTTACATTTTCCCTTATTTTTTTCCCACTGAATCTATTTTTTCACATGGATGTTTTACATCCCTAGAAAAAGAACCTCAGGGTTTTCCTTTCTGTGTGATTTCATCTTGTTTCTTCAGAGTCTGTGATGCCAGCTGAGGTTGTCAGTGCAAACTGATGTGATGGGAGCAGATTATTCTTCCATGATCTAGGTCTCTGAGCTGCATGTCAAATCTGGGGCCGATCACTCCATGTCTGTTTAGCCTGCTTGCAAGGTTGGTAACATCTTCCTAGCTCCACGATCATCAACAATTCCAAATTCTTAGGTATAACCAGGCTTTATCCTCCTGGTAAGAAACTGGACAATAACTTCGGAGCATGCCGATAAAGAACTGACATTTGGTCCCAGTGCTTGGAAGATAGAGGCAGGCTGATCTCTGTGAGTTTGAGGCCAGCCTGGTCTACAGAGAGAGTGTTCCAGGACAGCCAAAGCTATACACGGAGAAACCCTGTCTCAAAAAACCAAAACCAAACCAAATCAAACCAAACCCTGACATTTGCTTCTCTCTTCAGTGTTGTTGGTACTCAGGACATTCCTGGGTCCTGCTATGGTGGCTCAGTTTATGAGTACCTGCTGCCCTTTCAGCAGACCCGGGCTTGTGTTTCAGCACCCATATGGCGTCTCCCAACCTGTAACTCCAGTTCTGGAGGATCCGACACACTCTCCGCCTCTGCAGGCGCCACACATGCATGTAGTGCACAGACGGGCGCAGACAGCGCATGCAGAGAATAAAATACAGTACACCCATAGGAGAAAATAAAAACCTGCAACGAGAACAGGAGGGACTGTCTCATGAAGTTTCCCCGATTACTGCTGCTCTAACAAAACCACTGACACAAAACTTAAAGGAGGAGGAGGGACATTTTGGATCACAGTGTGAGGGTGCAGGTCGCCATGGCAGGGAAATTGTGGTGGCTGAAACTTGAGAAAGCTGGTTACACTGTGTCAGCAATCAAGAAGGGAAGAGATGAATGCTGGTGCCCAACTTTCTTTTCCTTTTTCTTTCTTTTCTTTTTTTAATGAAGCCCGGGGCCTTCGGCTATAGCACCTTCAGTTACAATGGGTCTAATCATCTTGATGAACTAACTTAATCTTGATAATTCCTGACACACATGCCCAAATGTCTTTTCAGTGACTCTAGCTCCTGTCAAACTGGTTATCAGTATTTACCCACCCAGGCCCTATCTACACGCACACAAGGCCACTGGAAGGAGCTCAGCTGAGATGCCACGCCAGGCCTGCATTTGAGAAATTTGAATCTAAGAAAGTTGTCTGGGCAAGAGTAGAACAGATAAGAGCATTGGGACCGTGCTGTGGTGGTGGAGATGGCAAGCTCTGAAGAATGATCTGGAGAAAGAACTGGCTGTCCCCAACAACAAGAGGAATACCTGAGACAGAATTTGGAAATGTCAGTCCGATTCTGAGAGTGCTTTAGCTGGTGGAGCCTCTGCCATACGTGGAAATGCAGCTTCTGCAAGCGTGGTGGGTTTGGAAGAGGATAAGAAGTGATCCCAGTTTTGGAGAGGCTGCAGGTCACATATTTGAGGGACACCCAAAGGCACGTCGGGATGGTGGTCGTAGACAGGAATCCAGAGTGAGGCATTTCAGCCTGCCTTGGAAGCTAAACCTGCCTATAAAGGGAATCCATCGAGGGGGCTGAGACTGCACTGTAAACAGAACCTCATACAAGCCTCCTGCTAAGTCTTGGCCCAAAAGAGTCTAGAAATGCGAGCTGTGGAACAGAAGGAAATATTTGCAAATCAAATATTAGACAAAAGGCAAAAGTCAGTAAGTAAATATAATCAAATTCAATGGATTATTGCACAAAGATTTACACAGATGATTTTACAAAAGAAGACACACAGAAAATTGGGATGGAAGAGACATTGAAGCACACTGATCCCATGAAAATGCAAAGCACAGTCACCGTGCCGCCATATGCGCACCTACTAAAATGACCAAAAATTCTTTTCAAGTGGCCACAGGATTTGGAGGTACGGGAACCCTTACATACTGATGACTGCTTTATAAACTATACGAGAACTCTCTGTCTATTTGAGACAAGCTCTCTTCATGGAGCCTTGGCTGTCCTCAAATTCACAGAGAACCGATTACCTGAGACTCCCAGGGCTGGGGTTAAAGGCGTGAACCAGCGCACCTCGCCCCACAGAAGGAGTCTTGAAAAACTACACCATTACCACAGTCTTGCCATTTCTCTCCTGTATATCGACAATATTAAATGTTACCTTTGCTCTGTGCTCTTAGAAATAGGGACGATAACTCCATGGTTGGAGAAATCGCTCAGCAATGAAGAACCTTTGCTGATCCTGACAGACTAGAGTTCAGGCTCCAACACCCACATCAGATGGTTTACAACTGCCCGTAACTCCAGCTCCGGGATATCTAATGCACAAAAACACACTTTAAAACTCTCCATTTTCTGTATTCCATAAAAGCTTACTAGGAAGAACTGTCACACTTGAATAAGGCTCCAACATTCTTGTTTACCTGTGACAAGGGCAGACACAGACCGTCCAAATTCCCACCACTGCCTCATGGATGGTCGGTCACCTGACTTGCTTGTTCCTACTGTTAGTCAGAACAAAATCCCTCCTAATCTTTGGGCCAGCACCCCTTCGTCCCCAGGCCTCCACTTGGCCTAACTACCATACAGTCCTCAGCAAGGGAGGCTCTGTGCTTCATCTTCTGTTCCTAGCCCGGGGCACCATTTGTGTCCTATACATTAAGCCAGCAGTGCGCTTCTCTCAATTCTGTGAGCCACTTGAACAAATTAATAAATTCAGAGGAGGGGATCAGGAAACCAGAGTCCTTTGGTCTGATACATAAATAAATTGAGCCTGGTCTTATGATTGGCATGGAAGTTACTTTTTGGGAACTGAGTCCCCAACCTCTGGGGTCTGGCGCTATCTTCAGATAGTGTCAAACTGAACTGAATGATAGTATCCCAGCTTCTGTCCACTACTGCAAAACTGATTGCTTGTTTGGTATGTAAGAACATCCCCCACAGACCAGAAGCGATCTGTGCGTTGCGAACACGCGGCAGGAGAAATCAACCCGGAGACGCTTTTCTCACCATAGCATCAGTCCCCCAGAATAGTGCGCTGCCAAAAAATATTCCGTGAGGTCGTAGCAACCTTCCTTTAAAGTGAAAGTGGGAAGGAGAGAAGCAGCAAATGGCATCATATCCAAATAAAACATATACCTTAGCAAACAATCCAGCCTCTACCTTCCAGCTGCTGGGATCATAGGTGTACATCACCACATCTGGTTCATGCTGGTGATCAAACATTCGGGGCACGCTGGGAGAGCATGCTACCAACTGAGCCACATCCCAAGAGAGCTTTGTTCTCTTTTAATACATGAGTGGAGCGATGTGCCAGAATGGGACCTGGAGCGATAGACTCCGCAGTGAACATGTCTCCTGCACAACCAATGTCTTGCTGCTTTTCCCACAAACACAGGAGCAGAGAGGGGACGGAGAAACAAGCCTGGGGCCAGCACCCCTCCCCTCCGAGCCACCTTTGCTCTACCCGGGG